TCCTCACGGGAAGATATGAACCCAATTAATTGACCGCGCTCCTAGCCCAGTTGGTAGAGCATCGCACCGGTATTTTCGCGGAGGTCGCGGGTTCGAATCCCGTTGAAGTCCTGATTTTTTTCAGGCTTCTTCTTTCCAATTGCTTAAATTGGAAAATCATTCTTCACTTTCATCTAAACCGCAGTTCAAATATGAATTATTTCATATGTACTTCACATTGCCAGTTATCCTACACATAACGAAGTCATTAGTGAAAAAAAGAGCTAGGTCGTTGTGCTCTTTTGATTCTGAGCCGGAGTTTAATTCTGAGTGGACGGTGCCTCTTAGTTTTACAGTAGCCAAAAAAATACCGTCGTGATCTGAAAGGAGTAAACCATTGGTAATTTGCATATTTAAACCTTGTTGAGACAGAATTTCGCATCTTCCATCGTTGAATCCGAACGAAGTTCAAGGAGGCGATTCTCAACTTGCCCCAGAATAGGCCGCGTTCGATATATCAATATTCTAACATGGCTCCGAGGCTTTCAGGAGAAACTTCTATATTTGGTGTTTTTTTTCTTTGTATCCAAGTCTCTTTTGAGAATTGAGGGACAAAAGAAACTTTAAAAAATTGCAATTTCACTTCCTGAAAGCCTCGGAGCCATTTTGCGACCGAGATCTCTGTAACCGGGATGAAAACTTTCCCATATGAACACTCCATTGCAGCCCGGGTCGGTCGACCCTGCTGAATTTTCCCTAATGAACAGACCACAAAATTAGCTCTTGTAACCGAGCCTGCCCGGTTACAGGGCTCATATGAAGAGGCCCTAAATGTAATTCAATCAGCCCTTAAATAATACATGTTTAATTGCAGTATACTTGGAAATAAGTAGCCTGACCCACTCAAGGGCACCGATACAGGTGCACTCATTCCAGAACAGGCGTTCGACAACATGGAGTCAACGAAATTTGTTACTCTACCTGCCGTCCCGTTTCCTTGACAAGTGGTACAGTTGGTTCCAGCTCGTGCTAAAACAAAAAGAAGAACAAAATCAAGTGAGCGAGTGAGAGACTAAAATCCGATTCATGTTTATCGCCACGTACAAACCTAAATTACAAACTTAAACCTATGAAGCCCGGGGTAGTGGAGAGACTTTGTTCTCCCCATTCCCTCCCCTCCTATGCATCTCTAAAAACTTAACGCAAGAGTAATCAAACTTGTATGATATTTAAGGCACCCCAAAATTATTATTTTGATGACAATCACTTGTTCATTATCACTACTTATCAGCCAAAATTAGGTCGTACATTTCAGAGGTCCGCAACCAGGGAATACTAAGAATGGTAATCTTTATGGCATAATAGGTTACTAAACCAACAGTAACACCTGTTCAAACGCCCTTAATTTTAGCTTTAAATGCTCATAACTCAAAAAAACTAGCTAGATGACTCCTATTTATTATTATCGAATTGTGAAAGGCATGAGCGCAAAGTGTAAAATACTTCCGTCTGGGGGTTCCAAGCTACCTTAAATTTTCGAAATAGCCCTTTTACAACTGTAACTTTTCTCATTTGCATTACAATATAATCTAGCATTATGTGAAGCAATTTCGGGTTATTTTGTAGCAGTTCACTTCAAAATAACCTCGCCTCCAGGTTGGATTACACTGTAATGCAAAAGGATAACTAACCGTGAAAAGGGCTTTTAAGGTTACTATTATTGGTTTTCCAAAGGCCGAGCATCTATTCGGTACCAATCATTTGTAGCATCACTTGGTAAACGGTGGTCGCTCAATGAATCAATCAATTGATCGATAGATTAATGGATGAACCACTCACTCGCTCCCTTCCTTCTTCCCTCTCTCCATCCTTCCTTCCTTCCCTCCCTCCCTCCGTAACTCACTTCCTCCCTCCTCCCTCCTTCCCTTCCTTCCTCTCTCTCTCCTCCTTTCCTCCCTCTCTTCCTCAGTCGCTCGCTCGCTCACTCACTCACTCACTCACTAAGACACTCACTCACTCGATCAATCGATCGATCAATCAGGGCAAAATACTCACCTATAACTTTCACTTCTATTGCAACACTAGCATCTCCGAATGGATTCTCTGCGGTCAACGTCTAGTCACCATTGTACAATGTGCTGGCATTATGGCGTATGTAGATTAGATTCGTCGTCGTTTCCTTCAGAACGATCTCTTTGTTGTGACGCAAAGTCACCAAAGGGTATGGATACCCATAAACCTTGAATTCTAACATCAAAGGCATTCCTTCAATGACTTCATATTCAACTGCGTTCCGGGTGTTGATTTTGGGTGGTTCTGTTAAAAGATTAAAATAAATCAAGTAGAGTAATACGGTCAAAGCGGCCACCTAATAAACTGCTACCCCCTATTAAGCGGCTACTCCATATTAAGAGTTACGGAATTAAACAATTTTGCACTTACTTACCACTTATGATTTCAAGTATAGTGACGCTATCCACAGTTTCGCTAAACTGAATCTTTCCTTTGCAAATAAATAACTTTTCGTCATCGTCGGGTATAATCTCGAAAATCGTCAAAGTCCCGTTAGTTTCCAATTCATATTTCTTGGGATAGTCGACGTAGACTAGTGTCTTGTTGTCTATATGGGCTACCCTGTGCTCATCCCAATTGTTTCTGCAATCGTCTTCTTTGGTACATCGATACCAACCAATATTGATCAGCAGTGGAATGTCCAATGGACAAGGAATGGAGACGTTTTGACCAATTCTAGCCTTGATCTGATTCTGGGGTTGAGAAGCGACTGTGAAGACAAGAATAAGGTAGCAGATTAGGAAAAGAGGCATACATTCTTATAATTACTCTTCATGTTAATAGATAACAGGATGATTCATAAAAAAGTACCCTTGTTTTAGTAGTTTAATTGTTCATTGTTCTACCTACGTGTGTTAACTATTTTGCATCTCCCTTCCAGGTTCTTACGGGAGAATCTTTGCTGAAGTCATTGTGTACATTTTTCCTAATTAACATACGACTTTGTGTAGAGAACGCTTCACGCTAGACATGCACGAATAGACTACAAACATTTAAAGAGCTTGTGAAGCTTAGTAAATGGTGAAATGTTTGCATGGTTCTTTGGGTGTAATAATCGAGGTGAAATTGGCTTTCAAAAACTGCAAAATGTCTGGGTGGCAAAAACGCCAATGAGCTTATACATTCTTGTAAAATTTTGAGTTTTGAGACCGCGTGGCACAAAAAGTGATCAATACATTGGGTGCAAATTCCTTGGCGCAGTCAGTTATGCTGTGCCCTTTCAATATTCAGAAACTGAATGTTTTTGCATCTCCATCAGAAACTGTATCGCTTTTGCTAATGTGGCAAAGTATTTTAAACAAAGATTCTTCTATAGCACTGTAACCGGCTCTCTGTAAACTTAACAACTGCATGATGCAAACTAAATTTCGTAGATTTAAAAAAAAAGGTTATCTAGTAGCTAATCTGCACTCTTTTGACTCACTGAAAAAAAGGTAAAGTCTGCTTACGAGTCAAGTGGTCCCCTGACTCACTGAAGCTTGCTAAGAAATCTAAAACTAAATATGAATTTAAAAAGGGGATAATTTATTTGGTCGACAGATCTTAATTACCAGTAAACCTACCAAAGCTACAAATCAATCTGTACTGGCAGGAATCTGCCAGGACAAGTTTGCATTGGCTGCGCGTTTATCAACCCTTGTTTTTGCTGTGTGATCGCCTATAAAATTAATTGTGTAGTTAACATACTTTGATTGTAAATTGGACCTCAGAGAACAAAACTCCAGTACAAATTAATGTGAAAAAAAAGACAAATATGTGCTTGGTGTATACTTCGAATGTATACTACTGATATGTGCTTGGTGGTCTGTTGACCCCCTACTCCCTTGTGATCACTTGGATCGCCTACGTAAAGAGGTCAACTGTAGTTATTTAATCTAAGAAGTGATTTTCTTTGCACGTTTGTGCTGCCCATTCTTGGAAAATATTTTCATCCACTGTGGGTTTCGAGGGACAAAAATGTTCAAAGGTTACCGTATACCTTCAGAGGTGTCTCGCGTCCACGCGATGTAGCGCGTCCGTTTTAAACTGTAGATACCTAAACCTCTATATCAAATTAAAGCTCATGGAGCTGGCTATCAAACTATACCAAGATGTTTGAAATAAAATGAATTGTCGAATTTTTTACGACTTCTAAATTCGAGCGTCCGAATAACCTTTCGAAAGCTACTAGTCAAAGCGAATTTTGTTTTTCACTTATTTATTAGCCTGTGGGCAGGCTCACGTTTAGAGCACAAGCGCGGGCGGCGTAGCCGCGAGCGCGAAATCGAGTCTTTATGGGGCCTCTTCACCAGACTTCTTCCCGCCGGATCACGTTGCTCTTCGCCGCTCGCGCGCTTGACTCAAAGGTGAGCCTGCTCGCAGGCTCTTATTTATTTGTCGCTCCTGGACTCAAAGCGCTAAAAAACGGTATCTGCGATTTGCCATATTCAATTTCAGTGAAAAGTTAAAGTCGCACGGCCTGGGACGCCGCTAGGGCATATGTGAACATTTATCGCCGAATCATAATCTGTCCCAGGCATTGACCGCCTGCGAAGTTGGACTGAGTTCAACTTCGAAGGGAAGCCGGCAGTTGTCGGCGATTGTCGGCGATAAACTGATATTTTATGTGAACATCCGGCTGAGCCATCTGCAGACGCAACGTATTACTTAACAACTCGATTTTTGCCTACAATTCCATATGTTACAAATGGAATGGTGGAAAAAAAATGCGCTAATTCGATTTGCATTTCACGCCAATTTGAGTAGGTCGGCGATCCATCGCAGCTCTGCCGGGGACCCACTGGAACAGATCACCGAACGTTGACACTTGCAACCGGCAACTACATCGTAGGTAGCCTTACAGAACCTTTTCGAAGTAGGATTTCAAAAAATATAGAAGAATCGCTCTCGCATAAAAAATATTTGGAAATAAGAAATTCGCGGACAACTTTCTGTTGTTTATATGTCAAACTAGTTGCCGTCTAATTTTTAGGGTAAACGAACAAATTCCCTTTGACTTGTAGCTTTCAAAAGGGACCCAAAAGATGATTCGGATGCTTAACATTTAGAGGTCGTGAAAAATTCGACAATTCATTTTATTTCAAACTTCTTGGTACAGTCCAGTTTAAACCGGACGCGCTACATCGCTTAGACGCGAGACAACACTGAAGGTGCATCTGATGGTATACAAAACACGCGCGAGATCTGGAACTACCCCCAACCTGGAAAAGTCTTTGGCTGTCTTTACAACGTGGATTTGTTGTACACAAGGGCTTAGTTTCTTAACTGATCATGATCGTTTTGTCTTCCAAGCCTCATTGTTAGCTTTAATAAGTTTAAATCCTCTTCTGGGGGTTATCGAGCTCAAGATGTTACCTTACGTGAACTTCGTTAACAGTGCACGTTTACACGTATGGCCGCCAGTTTGGAAATTTCAGGCAAGTGTGAACTGTTTTGAAGTTTAAGCTCTTGACTGTGGTCTAACCTTAGGCCTCCATAGTTACACAACTAGCTTTTTGACTGCGTTTGTTCTGAATTGTAGGGGCAATGAATACTGTAACGATATCCATATTGATTGATTCGCTTCCGTTCTAAGTTTCATGACTGACATTGCCATGGTAACGGTTCAGACCATGCTTTCCGTTTTTTTTTTTTACTTGTCAGCTGTAGTCGAGAGTGTAGATTAAACACAGCAGTTTGTATCTCCAGTTCTGGTCGATTCTTCTCTGTTCTACATACGAACAACGTTACAACTACAGTTAATACAGTGTGGGAGGAGGAGGTGAAGTGTTGCAAAGGTCACTGTTTTGTCGCGGTAGGTGGAAACCTTACATACATACATACATACATACATACATACATACATACATACATACATACATACATACATACATA